CTCGGCATGGGATTCCTGGAATTCTAGTCCAGACCTTCTGTTCTCCTACAGTATTTTGGACTGCAGTTTCTATAAATTTCACTCGGCATGGGATTCCTGGAATTCTAGTCCAAACCATCTGAAGAGAGAATTTTAAATATACATAGTTTTTAAAACCATTGTGGAGATGTTCTTCTGCCTATTTTCTATTGGTGAGGCTTCTCAGTGGTGTTAAAGTAATTATGAGAGTTTGTTGACTTCCCACCAGAAGGTGTCATACTAGTATTATTTTAAACACATTTCTTCTCCATAGCTTTTGACTGCGATGGGGGAAAATAATTGTAACAGCATTTGCCAGAACACAATTTCACACCTTCTACTTGAGATGCTCATGGGATTCTCAAGAAAGATGGAAATTATTGGAGACCTTCCTTTTAAATAGGTTGTGTTTTGTTTGCAAGATCTATGACAAACCCCCTTCACAAACCCCCTTCACAAAGAATGAGCAAACAAATCGGTCTGAAATCCTGTGAGCTCATATGAACTTTATGAAGGCAATAAACTGATTCCAATGCTATAAATGTATTCGGAGGAGATACAAGCTATTGGATTAATATAGTGTAGTAAAAGTGTCAAGGTCTGGAGGACCAATTTATGCTGACATAAAAAAGCCTGCTTCATACTTTTGCATACAAACAGATAAGCATCATGTTATAAAAAGTGTCCAGCTGTTAAGTATGAAGTGCTGGTGATTTATTTGCTGTGACTATATGGATCAGACTGTGTTTGCAGTGAAATAAACTTAAAATGACAGTATCAATTTTGTATACTTCAACTCTGTTTTGTTTAGCATTTGGATTCTTATTCTAACCTTTGTATGCATTTTAAAATTCTTGATAATATATTCTTTATTCCATAAGAATGTGGGTTTCCAAACTGGATAGTAGGAAGCAAAGGGAATATGGGTAGCCTTTCACATTTAGAGCTATGCACAGTAATATGAATGTAGGAAACAGAAGAACAGAACACAGGTCCCCAGCTTATTTCTTTTTAGCTTAAATCTTCCTTCTGGTATATCTCTATCTGAAATTGGAACTAGGTGCTAGTAGAAAAGTAAAGCCAATGAAGTGGAGTTGCACATTTTCCTGATATTGTTAGCAGGATGGAATGATAACTTTCAATCAGCGAGCCCCATCTTCTTTAATTTTCACTGTGTTTTTCTAACACATTTTGTTTGGCAGTCTGTGTTTTCTACAGCTTTCTAATTCTTTTCCTCATCATACTTGGAATGAGAGAAATTTATAGGACTTCAAAAGAAAGAGTTTTGAAGAAAGAAAATAATTTGTTTTGATCAGATATTGGAAAATATTCTTGAGGATGCCATTTCTTTTTTGCAGACCAGAATGTTCTTGTTTCTACTCCTGTTTGTCCTTTAAAACTTGGTTCTCCAATATTCTTTCTCTGTCATTCAGTTATTGCTGAGCTACAACTTATAATAGTCCAACCAGCATCCTCTTGAGAAACAACATGTTTGGTAGACTGCAGTTTCCCATTCCTGCTCTACAGACTTTTTGACCTTATAAATATATGTGATTTTCAGTGCCATTTCTAGACTGGTAAAATCCAGCTATGTTACTTCAGCCTCACTTATTCCCCTTCCTTATCTATGTGGTATTTGATACATTTATATTCTACATTTTTACTACCATTTGGGACAGCATCCCTGACCTCTTCTCTATACAGTAAAATATGAATGTTTTGTATGTATGTTAATCCCATGAAGGAAGACCCCACACAGGAAGGGGAAATGGGGCTAGGTTGTGAGTTCCACCTCTAAGGTTGTACATCTCCCCATCCTAAAGTCCACCAGTTGTATATAGACATCTAAGTCAAGGAAGCCTTCAAAGATGGATTTTAGTGTACATAGGCTTCTCTGGCAATTGGAACCAAGCTTCTATGGAAGCTTTTGCAAATAAGGTATTAACACGCAGGCACTGGAGTGATTGTGGATCAGACTGGAAATGCAGCCTGTTTAATTACATGAAGGGACTCCATGTGATGAACCAAGAGGAGAGCTGACATCTTGCTGCATTACAAGCATGATAGAGACTTTGGGGGATTGCCTGCTTATTTATCAAATTTATATAGCCACTCATCTCACAAATGTGACAAATTTCTGTGTGTCCATTTTAAGAACTACATTCTTAACTACACACTCCTTTGACCTGGATTTCCAAATACACATATATTATCCACGTGAGAAACTGGTTCATTACTGTCAAGACTTTACAATGAGCATGACAGTAAACATCAACTCTGTATGCCACGTTAAGTAACAGCTAGAAATTTCTGACTTGATCTGGCTTGATGAGTTCCTTTATTGCAGTTGATAAACTACAGAGAAGACCTGCATCCTACAGAACAGAGGAATCATACCCTATACAGGTAGTCCTCGCATAGTGACCATAACTGGGACTGATAACTTGATCACTAAGCACTGCAGTTGCTAAGTGGAAAATCATGTGACCATGAGAGGCTTATGACCTTACTTCACCTTCAATTGTTAAGCGGAGTGGCAGTCACTAAGTGAAAATAGTAACTGTGACTTACAATTTTACAGGTAGTCCTTGCTTAAGAACCACAATTGATATCATACGATCACTTTGCTTGGCAACCACAATCCCAGCACTCACGGTTGCCATCGTTAACTGAGAATCGCAGGTCATTAAATGGAGGGAGTCTCAGTTAAGGAGCGTAGGGGTGCTGTGGGCGGGGGCAGGGAGGCCCTGGGAGGCTCGGTGCAGGCCACATGCAAGCTGGGGGGGTGCTGCAGTGAAGTGCAAAGCTG